CAAATAGCTGTTAATTTATCTCTGTATTCCTCAGTCACGTGTTGCTTTTTTCGCAGTACATATACATTAAAAAAAAAACTTAATGTAACATTTGTGTTTCTCAAAAATAGCATTGTTAATAATAATGCGAAGAATGAAAGCTGAAAATCTAATTCACGAAGAGGTATAATCCAATGATTAAAAGTTGTGATTTATGTACAATCACACTATTCCTTTAACACACCCACACAGAAAAACAAACTATTCGTTCGCAAAATCACAATCGCTTCCTGAGGAGCTGTCATTATCACTTCCTTCTCCTTCTCTTTCTTCCGCTCCGGTTTCGTCAGTGGTCTCTTCGTCCTCAAGTTCTTGATTTTTCGCAGTATATATACATTTAAAAAGAAAACCAGCTTAATATAACATTTGTGTTTCTCAAAAATAGTATTGTTAATAATAATGCGAAGAATGAAAGCTTAAAATCTAATTCACGAAGAGGTATAATCCAAAATAAGGAGTGTAAAGGCTTAGTATTTTCACATTTCCGTTTGTTCCTGTTCTCTCCTTTCCATGATTTCCCTCCATTCATCGGACAGCGCCCATTTAGGAGAACCTGTGGGTGGTTCTTTTTCTGCAGGCTCTCCTTTACGAGCCTTTGTTCGTTTCCACCTTTTGTTCGTTGCCTTTTCTGTCTTTTCGCTGCGCTTGCCAAGCCTAAGACAATAACAGTATTATAATTAGAAGATGCCGTTGGCTTGATTGAAACCGTGAAGTAAAAAACCGGGCAAAAAAGCACTAATAGGTTACTAACAAATAAACTTACTTTAAAGCCTTCCTGGCACTTACAATCCATCATTGTCGATAACAAGGAACAGTTTGGCAATACTGGACAGTAATATTAGCAATTTGTAAGGATAAAAACATTTCCATCTTTCTTGCTATAAGGAATATCAGTAAAGGACTAAGCCTTTAGTATACTTCTTACTTGTTTAGCAAAGCTTCAAGAGTTTTGCTCCTGTATTTTGGGGGCCTAAGCACCCATCCTCCTTCGCCTTCATCAGTATCTGTGTCACCATCGTCACTGGACATGTGCTCTTTACTTAACATTGCGAAGGCTCGGGACTCAGCCTCATCCTTGACATGAGCTTTTCTTCTCTCATATTTCTATAAGATAAAGAAAAATTTGCTCTTTAGTACTCTTCAACTAACTTTCATTGCATCATTCAAGATGTGTCATTTTAGTTATTTTAATGCATATTAACTGTATTCTTGCCCGCTCTTTTGGTAAATTTTTCTTATTTTTCAATTTTATTTCATCCGTTATTTTTCCAAGGGCATTCCTCCGTAAGTGCTCATGATCCTTTTCGCAGTCCCTGAACAAAACAAAAAAGGCTTTAATTTCAAAATTGCGCGATTGGGGCCTGATTACAAGGACGATTTAATAAAGGCTGGTTGCACGTACTGGGATATGAAATGTTTTACACTCCTAACAATACATGTTTAGCGTGCGTATATCGAGTTAAGGATACACGCGGGAAGTTTAGAGAGCACGAAAAATGATTAAGAGTAGCTCTAGGCGCAGCCTACAGCAACTCTAGCTTTTTGAGCTAAAAGCATGAGCAAATTCTTTTATGACAGAGCGACAATAAGGATCTGCGCGAAGAAGCCTTTTATTGCGATAGAGAGCAAAATTCTCACAACGCTTACAAAAAAAAGTAAACAAACGTCCCTATTGGCTGGTCAAAAACACGCCACATTTTATACTTTGGTTTGAGCGAGGACATTTAAGCCAGTTAACCGTTAACAGTGAATGGAAAGCACAAAATCTACGGGGGAAATGGAGAAAATTAAAGCCAAATGAACTCAAGTGACACTAAAAAATGTTTTAAAAGTCAAAGACCCGAAGTTATCAAGGGTTTTGATTGTTCAAAATAAATATTTACGCTGCCGTGCCGGTACAATTGGAGAAGACAGACTGCAGGAAACTTGCATTAATAATAAAGAAATAGCCAACATGTTCCGTGTTTCTGTCAAGTCATAGAATTGAGGGAACAAGAAATGCCGAGGGAACATTAGGCAACAGGCAAGTGTTTCCTATACAGCTTTTTCGAGTGCTCCCTAACTTTCACGAGTGTTTCTATCTAACAATTAGATTATGAACTCGAGATTTCTATCGTGTGATAGTTGACGAGGGCGAAGATACTGACTATCTTTATCTATTATGGACAATAAATCTTGGTTGCAGTGGTGTCCTCGAGTTTTAAATTGCTTATATGGTAAACTTACTTTGTACAGCAGCTTTACCAAATCCACCTCGGTGGCCTTGGCGGCAAAGTTCATCAACATTCAATAGAGGGGTAAGTTTCTAAAAAAACTGTGGTGCTGCGTCGGTGAGAGAGTATAGCAGGTAATTTAGTGTTAACAACTGAGTTGGAAACGTAAATTAGCCACCGTAAAGGGTAAAAAGGCTGACGTTCCGAGCGTTAGCCCTTCGTCAGAGCAATAACGAAGGGCTAACGCTCGAAACGTCAGCTTTTTACGCTTTACGGTGGCTAATTTACGTTTTCAACTCAGTTGTTAACACTAAATTACCTTCATCAACAATCAGCTAGTTTTTTTTTTTTTTTTTGAGGGCTGGTGACCCTGACAGGGAGAAAATATACAAAATATTTAGATTTCTGTATCTCGTTGAAAAAAATTTTTAGTGCCTTTACTTATTCACTCTTAAACTTGGGTTAAATGTATGGGTCCAAGTCTACATATGAGAAAAAGTGCTCATGGGTCCTCAAGCCTACCTTAGGCTCCGTCCACACTGCGTCGGAGAAATTTAAAAACGCAGCTTTATTCCACGGTTAAGACTGTCCACACTAATCCGGAGACGAAGACGGAGCTTTTCGAAAACGCTCTTCAAACCGGAGGAATTTGGCTTTGCGTTTTAGTGTGGACAGAAAACATTTTAAAAACGGAGATTTTCGAAAACAATGACTTCACGATAATCTTGTGATTAATCCTAACCCTCAAGGGTGCACTCAAGCGTTTTTACGACTGGTGATTGTTGCGTTCTCAAATTTCTCCGGCGGAGTGTGGACGGAGAACATTTGATGCGTTTTCAGAGTAAAAACTCCGTTTTCAAATTTCTCCGGTGCAGTGTGGACGGGGTCTTAATTAGGTAACATCAGTCCCACAAAAAGAAATACCCTAAAACCTGCATGATAAATTTTAATTACCAATTGATTTCCGTTGTACAATTTTGATTTGACTTCTTTCCTTATTTCGGGTTTTTTAGCACTTAAATTTCTTTCGAACACTGCCGATCGACTTAGAATACCTTCAAAATCCCCCAAAATCTGATGTTCAATTTGTAAAATCCCCGCCAAGTTTCAGCAAAGTTAGTAGCGCGCGAAAACCAGGAAAACTGGTGAACATGACCTTTGGTCAACAGCTTCCTTCCTATGAAAGCGCGGGGAAATGGTGCAGAGGTACAGCAGATACAGTGTTTAGTTAGCGGGAATAATTCTTACCCAAGAAAGCTTGCCATGAGTGATTCTTCTGCCGGGACCTAAAAAAGTCCTGCACGAGAACTCACCGGGTCCGAATATTTTCGCGCGCACAAGTTGATTGAAACTTTCGGAAACGGGCCCCTATTTTTATACAAAATACTTAGGCGGCAAGTTCAGAGTTCTTCCTCAAATGGAAGATGGCGGCAAAACTTTGCCAACAAAATCACAGAGTTCCGCGTGTGGCTTTGTCTTCGCGCTGGCATTACATGAATCATATACAATTTCATGCGATTTGGAAATAGATATACATGCACTAGGTCTTTATCAGAATTTAAATTCTAAACAAGTGCATAATTTAATTTTACTCACGATTCCCTTCCTCTGTATTGCATTGCGGGGTCTCTGCTATTGTGGAGCTTGTGAACCTCCTCCTATAACACAAATTTGAATACTGCCGCATTCAGTGCAACATTATAAACTTCCATTTTCACGGTAAAGCAAGCAACTTGCTTCACAAACAGGTTGTGTTCAGCCTCTCATGAAAACTCCACAAACTAAATGAAATCTAAGTGACCCAGATTGAGCGGTACCAAGACAAAAGCTTGTAAGCTTTAATCACGCTTACATGAAACTTTTCTCACCTCGATCAATAGAACGACTGAAAAGTCAGAGCAAGCAGCTTCCTTAAACTTTTAAAATTAAAAAGTTAACCAGCGACTGACATGTATTCATTAAGCTTAACTGAGATTTTGAACGATATCATGTAACTGATATAAATGAGCAAATTACCATCAGGGTGTAGTCTTAAATGAGAGAAATTTACATCGTTGTTCGATCGTTTCAAAATGACGTCAGCTTAGCAGAGGGAATCAGGTAAACAACAGCAATCCAAGGTTTTTCAGTCGCAATTTTTAAACATACCTGAACAAGAAGAGATGATTTTGTTCTCTTTCTCTTTTCCCCTCGTCCACCAGAACCACTCTCAGTTCCATCTACGGGATGGGAAGAAAGCTTTTCTACCCTGCCGTCTAGGATTTTTACTTTTTCGGCCAGTTCTTCAATCCGCTCGTTTGAGCTTCGCACAGTCTGAAGAAGTTCCTCGATCGACCTCTGGCAGGCAGCCAGGCCAGTGATCAACTGCTGTGTTGTGTCTCGTGAGGATAGGGGTGTAGATCCGCTGTATTGGACAGAAGATGACGACAGACCAACTGAACTTACTCGCGAACTCGAACCGCTATAAGGGGATGGAGTTCCTGACATTGAATAAAAATTGCTTGGTGCACTACCGCGACTTTGTGCGCTGGAAGTCTGATCCATGTTTTGGAAATCTGATGAATGAACACTATTTGAATCGCGGACGAATTTGCATAAGTCGAGAGAATCAGTCTGAATCAGCGAACCTCGTGAACTGAAAATTCCCGCCTAAGAACCAACAAATAACCATGAAGCGGCTGCGTGAGCTTCGTAACCAAGCCTTTTTCCACGAGCTAGCATAGTTTTTCAGTCACGTTGGCGTCGGAAGTGGATACTGTTTTACCTGTAAATGAGAAAATTGTGTATTGTTCGAAGAGGAAGAAGAGAAGATTTTGTGATCACTGCGATCGTCTGGTCTCAATCAGGACGTTTAATGCTCACAAGCGAAGGAAGACCGTTGATGATGCAAATATTTTTGGTACTGAGTCAGTGTGACTTTGAATGGTTGTTTGTTTTTGTTTGGTCGGCTTTTCAAACTTTGCTTGTCGATGTTTTATTCCTTTCATATTCAGGAACAACATCTTAATCTGTAGCTGTGTCTAATTTTATTTTTGATCGTAGATTACACAGATGAATTGCCAATTCAGATTCAAGCGACCTGGATCTTGACTTTGTGTTATCAAGCGATGAATGTTCCGAAGTTGCAGAATTTGCCGCCGAAAGTCCAGAACTTCAAGGTATATATTCAAATATCTATTTACACCAAACTTTAATGTTATTCACCTTCAGAATAAACCTTCTTTTAAAGCAAAGTTTGGGTGAGATTGAAGTTTTGGGGGCTTGGAGTTTATTGGCTTATAAAGTGCATTTTTGTATTGCAGATGTTAGCCCGCTCTAGGCTGGGGCTAGATTTAATTGCAAAAGACAACTTTTTTTTATAAATCAAAATTCAGCTAGGCAGCTAGGCAGCTAGACCTGGGGGACACAAAAATGCAGTTGGATTTGCATGTTTATTCATTGTTTGTGACCTATAGGCCTCACTTTTAAGCTGAAATATAAGATACTGTTTTACAAATCATTGTAATTCCTCTAAGACAAAATTTTCCTTACACGTGTTATAATTTTGTGTTCACGAGTTACCTTTTTAGCATTGACATTTAAGGTAACAGATATATGAATAGCTGGGATTGTAATGCATATGTTGTTGCAAGTGTCACTGACAATAGAGAATCATGCAACTTCTTTTTTGAGTAAAAAAGAAGTTAGTTATTTATTTTTATAAGCAAAAATGCATTAAAAAAAACACAGTTCTTGTTTTTTTGTTTTGTTTTGTTGTTGCTGGTGACTAAACCCGTATTCTCACTCTCTTTTGAAGTGACCTATATTTCTCTTTAACCAACAGATACACATGTTTCTGGAAGTGATGGCAGTAATGGGTTGTCAAATGCTGAGTCATCTGACAGTTTACAAGTAAGCCAGATGTTTTAATTGTCTGACTAATACATCAGTAAATATCATCTAGCCTGTCATTAGCCTTTGCTGCTCAGTGGGTGCTGAGCATGTGCAAAATGAAGAGCTGCACTGACATTTATTTCAGGTCTATTCTATTTGAAAGGAATTTGAACTGTATTTGTAATTAAATATTTGTATTTTATTTGTATTCTTTTTTCTCCACTTGACTACATGAACACAATATTTTTAACAAATAGGTATTGTCTTTGAAAAGCCCCTTTGGGGAAAGTCACTAATGGATGTATGTATTTTCCCTCATTCCTTGTTTATTAATATAATCCTTAAATGAAGGAAAATGCAAATCATACTACATGTAGTGAAAATCAGTTTGACCTGAAATTCATTGCAATACTCAACCTTACCATTATGCATAGGTCACATTGATAGCGGAGCTCACAGAGCGTAGCCCTATAATTATACAAAATAGTAGTAACCCATCAAGCCGAAAATATTTGGATGTACAACCGTACGACTGTACAAGGTGCTACTTTTAGCATGTGCGGCCAACTGTACCGCGGGCATGCCAAAGCCACGGCTTTGTTCAGTAGTCCAGTGGTCAGTGCACTGGGCTCCGAGTTGAACGACCTGGGTTTTAGTCCTGGCTGGTGCAAGGCGTTGTGCCCTTGAGACGTGTGGGAAAAAAAAATTCGATTTCTGCTTTTAGGCTTGGCTAAATCTATATCAGGGTGTGAAATTAATTTTTTTTCTGATAGCCACTTGGCTCCTTAATTCTTCAAAGTGGTGGCTAATTCAAAAAAAGTTGGTCGCCATTTTCAAAGACAAACAAAATCTTTCTTTATGCTGTCAGTGTTCTAGATAGACCCTCCAAAATTAAGATAGGGAAAAGATCTTTAACGTGCTACAAAGTGGACACTAGGATGGATGATATACAACATTAAAGCTCATGAAAAGATAGAGGGGCCGCAGCCAGGATAAAACATCTTATGAAATTTAAAAAACGATCTCTGGCTAAAACTTTTAAAAATACGAGCTTTCGGCTGTTTGCGCTACAGCCTTCAACGGGTAAAATGATAAAAAGGTAAAAAATACTAGGTGTGAAGTACAAAGTAAAAATTAAAAATGCTGATAACTAAGAATGTTTGTTAAAAAGAATGTTGTATTGTCCGGGCAAAGGACAGGAATTGTTGTCCGCATTGGGAGTTAACTTGGAATGCCACGCTTCTAGTATTTTTCTTGTTCTGAAACCGCCTTTGTCAATAATAGATGCATTATCAAAGTCTATTGCGTGACTATTGGCCCAGACGTGATTGGCAATTCTTGAGCCTTTTGCCGCGGTTTTCACATTTCTGAGGTGTTCTTTCTTTCTTGTGTTGAAGGCCCTGCCAGTCTCACCAATATAACACCATGAACAGTCACCACAAGGAATTTTATAAACAACATTTGTTTGCGATTCCAATGATGGTCGAAATTTTGGGGCTGGGAACTGTTGTTGAAGGGTGATGAGTGGTTTGTTCACCACTGTGATGTCATGTTTTTTGAGGACACGAGTCAGAGGTTCTGTTATGCCTTTAATGTATGGAAGAGAGGCGAACGACTTGCGTGATTATGATAATAAACACAAGGCCAGCACAGCAGCAACTCTTCTACACAGAGCCCTAAAGCTACCCAACTCCTCCGAAGGAAAAAAAAGAGAACTTAACCGAGTTTATTCAGCACTTGAATCTAATGGTTATCCATCGAATTTCATTAAAAACATCCAGGCCAACAAAACCCGACGCTCAACAGTGTTGTCCCGAGAGGAACTTGTTGGAACATTTTTCAAGATGGTCGAGGCTACCGAATCATGCAAGTTTCAGAACAAGAAAAATACTAGAAGCGTGGCATTCCAAGTTAACTCCCAATGCGGGCAACAATTCCTGTCCTTTGCCCGGACAATACAACATTCTTTTTAACAAACATTCTTAGTTATCAGCATTTTTAATTTTTACTTTGTACTTCACACCTAGTATTTTTTACCTTTTTATCATTTTACCCGTTGAAGGCTGTAGCGCAAACAGCCGAAAGCTTGTATTTTTAAAAGTTTTAGCCAGAGATCGTTTTTTAAATTTCATAAGATTAAAGCTCATCTAAATCCAAGATGGCGTCTAGGTATCAATCGAGATGCATGTGCTACGTTTTGGAAACAAACTTAATGAGGAAGTTTGCCACAGATTTATCTTTGCAAATCTTTTTAATTCACTATATTTCTTGGTAAGGTTATGATGAAACATTCTAGTCGCCAATTTGGTGACTAACTTTCAGGATTTGGTCACCAAAGTGAAAAATTTAGTCGCATTGGCGCCTGTATTAGGCCCAATTTCACGCCCTGTATATATTAGTGTTGGCCACTGTACATGTATTATCTATGGCATTATATGAAATAGTTATGCAACACTTTCTTGAAGTAATATTACCATGGAATATTCCACTTGTAACTTATATTCCACTCTAAAGCATTGCATAGCTAGAATGTATTTTGAACTTTTCCTCTTATGTTGAAGGGGTATTTAATGGCATCATGGTAATTTCATGGTAAAAGAAACAGAATGCTGCTGAGTGGGTATTTTTTTCTTTTAATATTGGTTGAAAGGTACACATTTACCCTTTTTTCTTTGTAGGGAGAGACTGATGATGAGGCTGAATTGCAGTTTAAAAACCTACTGTCATCATCTGAGGATGACGATATTATCACTGATGAGAGCAACACTATGCAGAGTAATAATTTATCAGTATTGAGCAACACATCTATCAGTCTTATAATTATTTTTGTCATGACATGGAAAGTAATGCACAACTTGTCAGATGCTGCAGTGAATGTTCTGTTCTGTTTTCTGAAGAGACTACTGGATCTAATGGCTAGAATGATTCATTGCAAAGCACTAAAACAAATATCAAACCTGCTTCCCCAATCCCTCTTTATGATTAGAAAGTATTTGGGAATCAATCGAGATGATATTGAGAAACTCATTGTTTGCCCAAAATGCTCTTCATGTTACAAATCTGAGGACTGTGTACGAACTCTGTCAAATGGATGAAAGAAGGGTGAACGTTGCAGCTTTGTGGAGTTTCCCCATCATCCACATAGAAGCCAAAGAAGGCCAAGTGGAGCAGCACTTTTCAAAACTGTGCACTCCAAACACAGAGAACTGATTTTAAAAGCAAAAAGAGTCTTTTGCTACTGTTCTGTTAAGAAAACCCTGCAGGAATTCCTAAAGCTTCCTGGATTTTCTGAGAAATGTGAGCAATACAAAAAGCGTCCTCAAGATCCTAACTTCCTTGGAGACATTTATGATGGAAGAGTCTGGAAGAATTTCAAGAGTGCAGAAGGAAAGCTCTTCTTTGATGCCCCAAATACTCCAACTGAATATAGAGAAAGTATGAAACTCAAAGCTGACATTGGAACTGACCTGTTCCTTTTGTAATTTGTTGACAAATGCTCCATTCAAGTGTTATCTCCTATCAAGGAAGTTTACATGAGTGATGACTAAGTTGAAGCCTTGACAACAATGTACACTTTCCTACACAAGGAAGACACTCACTCCCTTCGTACTTTATACAATTCTATGATCCTTCCATATTTGTATTATTGCAATTTAGCTTGGGCTGGTACCTATAAGTCAAACCTTCAAAGAATTGTAACCTTACAGAAACGTGCGTTAAGAATAGTAAGCAATTCTACATACATTGCCCATACTGGCCCTATTTTAAAGGAACTTAAACTCTTAAAATTTCATGATATCCATTCGTTTCAATTAGGTACTTTTATGTTTTCATTCAAGAACTCTACACTCCTTCCAAATTCAATAACTTTTTTTACTGAATAATCAAATCCACAATTATAATACTAGGAATGCTCAGTCCTTCCGTTTGCCACTGTGCAGAACGAACACCAGGAAGTTTTCAATTTACTTTTCAAGGTCCAAACTTTTATAATTCGTTAAATTCTGACATAACTAGTTCTCCCTCCTCCGCTTCTTTTAAAAGAAAGCTTAAGGAATTTCTTCTCTCTAAGTATTAGCTTCTGTAAGGCAGTAATTCTTAACTAACTTAGTTAATATGTGTGTGCGTGTGTGTGTGTGTACGTGTGCGCGGTCAAAGTTAATTACCATAAGTCCATATTGTAATTCTAATATAAGATTAGTTATTTTAAGTGAGAAAGCCTGACTTGTTATAAGCCTCGTGGTTTCTTTCAGGTTTTCTCGCCATTTATTTTCTGTCATCAATTTTCTTCATTTTTTTTTCCATGTGTAAATGTCGTATATGGCAAATAAATATTGTATTGTATTGTACTATTGTTTATGTTCCCAAATTGTCATGTCAATTTCCACAGTTGCTACTTTATGACCAGAAAGTTGACTCCTGGTATTCAAGAAGTGAGCAGTCAGCCTGTATACTTGCCCGATGGTATGGTGCAAATGGTTTGGACAAAGTTTCAGTGGATCTGCGGCCATGTGAGTTGGTACATTTTGTGGTTCAAATCTAGTTTTAAATTTTTCAAACTAGTTTGATTTGTTTATTCTTTTGTTCCAGATTTTTCGCCATGACTTTAAGACCTGTAGAAAAATGCAATCAAACCAGTTTGAAATCATTTTTGGCCTGAAATTGATTTGTGAGGACAGTGAGGTGTGATAAGGGGTCATACTTCACCCTATTTTCTAAATTAAATGCTATATTCCAGATAAATACTGGTTTTTAGTGGAGAAAATAAAGTGTATTTATTCCTGTGGACTTAAAAAAAGTGTAGAATGAACATGTCCTTGTCAGAAATATTTTGGCTCTCCAAAGAATTATTAATAGAGGCAACAGTGATATAATGATATAATAGAACTTTTAAAACTAATTTAAAGCAATTAGAACAATTGAAACTGAACTTCTATTTTTTGGGCAGTGTAATGCCTTGCAAAGGGTGATCAGAAATGTGTTAAATGCTCTGAAAGACTTGTGAGGTTAAGCAATACTACTTAACCAGACAGTACACAAGACTGTGTTTTGTCTCAAACCTTAGTATTCAAATGTGCTTATTTTTTGAAAACTGATGATGTTGCCATTTGGCTTTAGCGTTCTCTTTTGTCTGGCTATAATTGAGGAAACCATGCTTTCTTTTTTAAGTATATAGTTTTTTCCCTACACAAACATGGTCAGTGAAAATTCTGGGAATTTTTTTTTTATTCCAGTGGGTGGCAGCAGGTGTCTGCTTGAGACATTGTAACAAGAGGTTTGAAATACCCAGTGTTCACCCAAGTAGGAGTCTATTGTAATTGTTGGATTAATTGTTTTTTCTGTTAGTTAAACTGTTCAATACAAGTGTATATAGGTTAGCTTACCCCCAGAGGTCAAGTGAGTGGCCCTATATATTTTAATCAGTAGTGGTTTGCATTTTGATTCTTAGCAATTTAGTTAGCAAACAAATGAAATTTTACTTTAGTAAACAATTGTATGGTGATGGTTGTGACCTTTAGCGGGACAGAGCAACTTTTTGCATTTATTCTTGAGTGGGTTTTTGGCAAGATACTCAAATACTTGTCAAATTTGAACTGCTCTGGACTATTGATTATTTTCACCAAACATAAATCATAGATTGTATGGACTGATTGGACTGTTTCAAATGATGACATAGTACAATCATTAGTCAACTGCCTCAAACAATCACAATGTCTCAAATGACCAAAGAGGTTCACTGGTACTGACTCTCTCAAATGACCAAACTGCTTCAAATGGTCCAAATGGCTAAGATGAGCTGACTGACTAAAATTACTAAAATGACCAAACTGGTTAAAATTCTCCAACTGCCTCAATTTTCCAAACCTGTTCAAGTGACTCAATTGCCTCAAATGACCAAACTGGTTCAAATAACTCAACTGCTGCCAGTTGAAATGATCCAAAAGCCTCAAATGACCAACCATTTCAATTGATCAACCCAGTTGCCTCAAATGACCAATCCAGTTCAATTGGTCAACCCAATTGCTCTGAATAACCAAGCCAGTTCAAATGACCCAACTGACTGAAAGACCAAAGCAGTTCAAATGATGCAACTGTCTCAAATGGCCAAACTGACTTGATTGCCCCAACTGGCTCAAATGGCCAAACTGGCTGAAATGACCCAATTGACAGAAATTATTAAACCGGCTCAAGTGACTCGACTGGGACAAAGTTCCTGACAAAGTTGCTGAAGAGTGGTAAAGTGGAAAATCTCTTACAGCTTTAGGGTAAGAATGTCTGCAGTAGTTATAGATGAGCAAATTAAGAGCTTTGGTTATATGTAGATTTAGCCAAGCCTAAAAGCGGAGCTCGCATTTTTTTTTCCCGCACGTCCCA